CCCCCCCCCCGCCCCGGGGGTTTCCCGCCAAACTCAGCTGCAGGGCGCAGAGGACACTTGGAAGCTGCTGCTTGAGTTACTTTGGTTGCCCCCCCCCCCCCCCCCCCCACCCAAAGCCCCGAGTCCTTGTCCCCCCCCCCGCCCGCCCCGGGTTAGTTTTCTTGCAGGCGACTAAAGCGGGGTTCCGTGCGCGCCCGGCGAGCCTCGCTAGTGGCGGCCGGCGAGCGGAGCGCGCCAGGGTCCCCGCCTTGTCTCAGGCTGCCGCCGCCGCTGGCCATGGGGATGTCACTGCGCCGGCACCGTGGCGGTGGCTGGTTGTTATGGCAATGGGAGGCGGAGGGGAAAACAGCGCCCCCCCCCCCCCCCCCCCCCCCCCCCAGCTCCAGCCTCTCCCGCTGCCGCGCCGCCTGTCAGCGCCCCTCCTGACTGAATGACTGGCGATAATTCGCATTGCACCAAAACCGCGCACGTCAAACCCCCCCCCTACCCACAGAGCCCAGCCAGCCCGGAGGGGCGGGGGGGCGCCTCCCTCCGTCTGCGAGGCGCGCGCGGGAGCCCCGAACCCTGCAGGGGCGAGCCGCCCGCCGAGCTCTCCTGGCAGGCGCAGGGGTCAGTGCAGCAAGGGCAGGAATGCGACAGGGACGCTGCAGAAAGCCGGCGAGCCCGGCCTGGGAGGGGCAGCGAGCCGGGGGTCCAGCGCTTGATTTGACTGGACGTGCCAGGAGTTTTCCGCTGCAGGCTGCGCTGGAGCTGCCCAAGACCCCCCCAGCCACCCCATTTTTGTGATTGGCCCAGGCCGCTCCAAGGCCTCGTTGCTAAGGGGCTGTCAAACAAGGGGGCCAGATGGACGCCTATCCACTGGAAACGGGACTGCTGTCGGTCTTTGCATGGCTGTAGCGCCCAGATGGGGGGCAGAAGGTGCATTGTACAAGCACAGCAGGAAAAAAAAAACCCATGGCCCAAAGAACTTCCAGTCTAAATAGACAAGAGAGACAAAAGCAGGGTGATTATCCCCATTTTGCAGATGAGAAACTGAGGCACAGAGGGACATTATTGACTTACCCAAGGTCACACAATAAGCCTAATCTCCTGAGTCTCAGTCCAGGGCCTTAGCAGCAAAATCATCTTTCTGCTCTAAAACTCAATCCCCCCTGAGTGTCTTTACATAGGCCACC